CTCTCTCTCTCTCTCTCTCTCTCTCTCTCTCTCTCTCTCTCTCTCTCTCTCTCTCTCTCTCTCTCTCTCTCTCTTCCTTTGATCCCTCTCCACGCGCGGAGCTCCAGAACATCAAGACGTGGCGATTGTCTCAGGACGAAACTGTCTGGCACCATGTGGCCCGAAAACATCCACGGCATGCACCTTTGTGCCGCCAGGCACCTATTGGCATCAGGCGTTCGATGTACTGCTAGGCCACCCCGTTGGACCTAGCCAGTCTCCACAGTGTCTGACAGGACAGCATCAGATGGGAGCCACTTGAGCTGCCTTGGCTAAGTAAGGCTGCTTTTTAAACAATTTGTCTATTACTGTAGTTAGTATTTACTTTCGGTCAAAACGTTTGCTGACCCACGTTGTGCTGGTCAGCTTGTCACTACCCTTGAGCAAAACATGCGTCAAGTTTTTCTTAATGACAATGTTCCACTGGTCTAAGCTCGAAGCGGGAAGGGAGTTTTGGGGATGTCAGCAGACAAAGAATGTGGGAACGTTTGCTGACCCACGTTGCGCTGGTCAGCTTGTCACTACCCTTGAGCAAAACGTGCGTCAAGTTTTTCTTAATGACAATGTTCCACTGTTCTAAGCTCGAAGCGGGAAGGGAGTTTTGGGGATGTCAGCAGACAAAGAATGTGGGACGAGGGAGGTATGGAAATGATGTGGAAGAGCGAGTAGCTGCAGGACACTTCTCAAGGGATGAGCGGAAGAAGGGAGTTTTGGGGATGGCATTTGCCTGTAGACAAAGTAGTATGCGGGAAGAGGGAGTTTTGGGTAGTAGCTGAAGGACATACACTTCACAAGGGATGAGCGCAAGAAGTACAGCAGTTGCCCCAGCTGGGGTTTCTTTCCTTGTGTGCATATTCTTAGCCCCTCTTTTCTGACTGCAGGGAGGCTGGGTTGCTCGAGATTGGCAGGGGCCAACTCCATCAACATGAGGCTGGACAAATCTGCTCTTCTAGCCGTTGACTGAAGCTGGTGATTGATCACACCTCATTACCAAGGAACTGCCGTCGACTGCAAAGTACTGCTTGGGACAGAAACTTATCATGTCTGCTAATGCTGTAAGGGACTGCCACGTGGCAAGCTTCACTGTATTGTAAAGGGGCTCACTGGACTGAAATTGGCTCAAATTACTGCTCACTGTTGACTGGCAAGTACCACTTCAGAACAAAGACCACCTTAATATATATATGTTGCAAGTAATTGCATTGGGTTGGATTGAACTGACTTTGTCTAGCTTGCCATTGTGTGGACTGCCGTCTTCACCCGAACACAATGTACGACAGGGTTGCATACCTCCCGACCCCGACTGCCGACTGTTTTGCAGCCGACCAGTAGGGCCGACCGGTTGGCGGTCTGCCGACCAGTCAGAAAACAGCCATCCACTGATTTTTTTTAGGGGGGTATAGGGGTGGTATACAGGTATTTGGCAGGGTATGAGGGTGTGGGGGGCCGGTTTGGTGGTGTTGGGGGGTGTATGGGGGTATTGGGGGCGAGTATGGGGGTGTTGGGGGGGTAATTCGGTGTTCTGGACCCAAAAAATAAAAATAAAAATATTAAAAAATCTGCAGGGTGTCGACGACCCCCGACCGGTAGGTCCTGACCAGTCAAGGGCGCCGATCGTCGGGGTATGCAACAGTGACGTACGGTAATTATAGCTGTATTAATTTGGGGGTATCTTTCAGTCTATGTGCAGCAATAACGACCATACATTGTGTCCGGGTGAGGACGGTAGTGTCTGCTGGCCCGGCCTGACGTGTCATGGACTTCTGGTGTAGACTGTACTCGACTGTGCAGGGAAGGCTAGTTTGGACTGCATGGGACTGAGGTAGAAGGGAGTGGGCTGAACCGCACATACAGATCTGCTAAACTGAACCGGACTGTGCTAGACGATGGTGGATTGCATTGGGTGCAACCGGAAGGGACTGGGTAGTGATTGTGTGACTAGAGCTGGGTAGATTGGGATGCAGGTAGTGGTGTGGGCTTGTCGGTAGGAGAGGGAGATGAAGACTCGGGTGTACAGAAGACAGCAGATTGATATGTTTGGAAGTTCGTTGATTTCATGATCCTGTAGCTCAGGAGAAAATTATGTGATGAAAAGAAATGCGCAGATGTCACGTCTCGTGTCAGCTCCTGGCACTGAAAAGTGCACCGTGTTTTTCCTCCAGCACCGCTTCATGCTAATTGTTTTTAGAATTTTTTTATTTTTTTTTCTTCTCTTTACAACTGCATCAGTCTGCAATGCTCTGCATGGTTGCTTTGCTCTTTTCCTGTCCTTTCAAGGGGTATTCAATACTATTCATTGGTCGTGCATTCACTGGTTCATGCACAGCCCAGGCTTGCACCAGAGCGACCTGCTTCCACTGCCCATTTCTTTATTTTCTTCGTGAAATTCAAGATTTGGGCTGCTAGTCATTGCACTCCTTCCGCAATTTCTCTGCCCCTGCCCTCCAACCCCCCCCCCCCCCCCCCCCCCCCCCCCCCCCCCCCCCCCNCTCTCTCTCTCTCTCTCTCTCTCTCTCTCTCTCTCTCTCTCTCTCTCTCTCTCTCTCTCTCTCTCTCTCTCTCTCGCTCGCTCGCTCGCTCGTGTGCTCACACAGACAGTGAATGTGTCTCTCATTCTATGTTTGTCTGTTGGTCTCTATCGTCCTCCTCCCTCCTTTCTTTCAACAAGTGAATGTGTCTCTGATTCGGTTTCAGTGCGAGTCAGGCAACACTCTGAATGGATGCAGCACTTCGTGCTGAGATTGCCAAGCTGAGCTAAGAAAATGCAACTGAGAAGAGGCGACACTGGTGCTGCAATAATAAGACAAGCCGCTTTTTTTATGTATGTGCTCACTGCTCATGCACGCACAAATGTGGTATGAAAATTTAATCTGCTGAGGTTCGTATAACAAAACAGTTTGTGCATTTTTATATTTGGAACTTTGTTCCGTGTCGCCCCCTCTGTTCTCTATACTCTTAAAAGTTACAAAGGGCCCACCGTAACGGGTCGATGTGGGCCCAATGAAAATTGTCGGAGGGGCGTGCCTTTGGGGTTCCCAAGGGAAGGACTGGAGACGTGGGAAAGTGACGCAGGGGTGCAGTCGGCAAAGCGGGTCCCAACGGATGGACCGGAGGCGCTGGTGAGTGAGGCTGGACGAGGTCGGCAAAAGTGGCAAGGGGGGCGCGAAGCGGCGCGAGGGGTGCGATGTGAGGCAAGGCATGGAGGGCCAAAGCAGTGAGAGGAGGGGGGGGGGGGTGCAAAGCAACGCGAACGGACAAATCCGTGTGGGTCCGCGCAGAAGAAGAGCGAAGTGAAGCGTGGGGGGAGGGCTGGCGGCTAAACAAAAGTGAGCGGCGGGGGAACAAGCAAGGAATGCGCGTAGCCCACAGATAGAACACCGACGAGGGTGGCGAGAGTGCATGCATGAGTTTGCAAGTGGTGCATGGTGCATCGGGCGAGAGCATGGTGCAGTGCGTGCGAGGAGGGAGGATAGCGAGGGAGAGCGAGAGAGATCGTCCGGCAGGGAGAAACAGCGGAATCTGAGCGGATGCTCAAACTTGCATTGGCGACGACAGTGCATGCAGGAGTGTGGATGCGGCGCATCGTGCAGGGTGCGTGAGCAGGGATGAAAGCGAGGCAGAGCGTTTCCCCCCCCCCCCCCCCCCCCCCCCCCCCCCCCCCGGCCCCCCTCTTCCCTCCTTTAGAAACTCAGCTGCCCTTTAGAAAGTAGAAGAAGAAGAAATGAGAGGAACTGGATATCGATGATGAATGGCATTACTACTAGGGTCTGTGCAATGCATGCAGTGTCTTGCACATTTGGTCAGTCGTTGATGGTTCGGCCAACTCCTTTGGTATGGGGTCAGGTTCGGCCAACTCCTTTGGTACTATGGGGTCATAATGAATCAGCTTCCTTTGAACGCCCAATACCCTGGCGGCCAGCCACCCCAACGGTTAACCCATTGCCACAGGTAGGTTCGGCCAACTCGAGGCGGGGCATGGGGTGGAGGGGGCAAAAGAAATTGAGTTCTTCGGACTTCTTCCCAACTGTGGTGATTTTTGGCTCTCATCTGCTACAAATTCTACAATTAGAAAAAGTTTGAACAACTGAGGGAATCGCGAGTGCATCCTGCTGTACAAGGGAAGAAGATTTTTTTTTTTTTTTTTTTTTTTAATGAAAACAGGCCTTTTGGTCCTGGCTCCTTCTATTCTGGGGAGCGTCAGTCCGGAGGGAAGAAGATTTCTAAGAATTAAAAAAATATATATTATCTATGCTTTTCTTGTCAATCGAAATCTGGTGCAAATTCAATGCAAATGCAATGCGAATGAAAATAAATACTTCCATTGCCAGGCCCGACCCCCTAAATGATTTCGGCAGTCCAGGGGTGGGCAAAATAAAGCATTGGGAAAACGAGCCAGTTGTCTCCAGCCGTATAGGATGTGACACAATCGCGTCGCTTACATTATGTTGTGGTCATCGATGCTCTGTTTTTACAGGCTGCCTTTTTTTTGTGTGTGTGGCTTTGGAATATGCTCAGAACTTTCTCTGTTTTTCAACTTTTTTTTTTTTTTCTGTGTTTTTTTTGCAAGTTTGCCTCACTGCGTTTTTGCTGTATGTTAGGTAAGGACTGACTACCTCATTAACCTGCTGATATTCGCATGTACATCTCTTACATTGAGGGGTTGGATTTGATTGTTACTTCTTGCACTGGCAGGGCAGCTTATATTTGCAAACGTCCGCCAAATTTTGTCATGACGGATGAGGAAAAGAATGCGCTGGACAAGCTCGCCTGGGATGAGTTCCTCACAAAGACTAAACAGGAAATTGCGATTCTTGGTGAGTTCTCTGGTGCCCAGTCCAGTTCTATTGAGACTTGTTCCGACGGTCTGTCGAAACTGCTAAAAGAGTCGAGAGTCAAAAGCTTTATCGGCCTCTTAGTCCTTGTAAGTTGTAGCGGTATAAAGCTGTCTGTCCCACTCAGACACTCTTATATCAGATCAGCATAGAGGTCCTGGGGAATCATCGGAATTTCAGTGATGCCACCATTCTTAAACCACCCGTACATGCCATACAACGACTGCGGGCCTCTGAAACGCGACGCTCGCCGTCGATTTATTTTTATCGACGGCGCGGAAGCATCCGGAATTTTAGGAGAGGCTCAATCGGCTTCTGAACTTGGCTGGGGCCATGTACTGGTGCTTTAAGGCAGCGTGAAACTTGCTTGGCAGTGGCAGAACACTAGGAACTCTGGGCTTTTCTACACAGAGGCAGAACACTAGGAACTCTGGGCTTTTCTACACAGAAAACATTAAGCATTGTAGCGATTGTAGAAAGCATCCAGTTCATTGGCTCGCTTACCTACCATAGATGCTATGTGGAAGCTATACTAGTGTTTGTAATTTGTGGCCTCACATGAGTGGTTTGCGCAATTTGCTGGGGGATTGCGAATTATATATATGAGACAGTAAACCCTGCATTCGCTTTGCTTCATTTGCTTGGAGCAATTGTTATCTGGAAGTAGTTGCCGTTTTTGCCTGTCTGGGTTGAACCGGGTGGAAGACCCCGCAGGTGAGTCGCCAGCCCGGCTTGGCCAGGTGTGGTGATTAATTGGATTTAACAAATTTTACACTATGTTCACACAGCTGGCCTGCACCAGCCCCGCCAGGAGCGCCTCAATATAATTCACCTGCCATCGACAGTTTTCTGGTAATTGGAGGTGTGCAAAAGGTTGTGTTTTCACATTGATGTCGGACTGGGAGATCTGCAAAAGGTGTTTTCACATTGATGATGAACTGTAATGCTGTGCTTAATAGGGGGGATTGGATGCTTGGGATGTCTGCAGATTTGTGCATGACATTCGAGCACGCTCCATTTGCTTGTGTCTTGAGCTATTCTCTAGTGTCACTCCTAAAGCCTCCTCGCTGTCGTGAATCTGTGGGTGCATGTGGCTTCCACTTGAATAGCAGCTCGCCAAGAGAAGAAGGACAGGAATAATAATTCAGTGGAGCCCCCTCGGCGGGTGTCTCACTACACTGGAGTGTTCAGCACAGGAAGGAAATGGGTGGCTCATATAAGGGTTGACGGCAGCACTGTGTTTTTGGGGGTCGTGAACTCGGAGGATGAAGCTTCTCACCTTTTTGACAGGTCAGCGGCCAGTCTTTACCTTTTTGCAATTCATCTCCCTTCCTTTCCCCCCATGGAATGAAATGATAGGGCATCACAACCTGTGGGATGTGTGGTCTTCTACCGTGTTCTTTTGATTCTGTTTGGTGGCCAAGGACTGTTGAGTTTGTTCGTTCCCACATCCAGTATGTGTGCCATCTCAACATAAATGATCAAACGTCTGTTTGGCGAGGAATTGCTGATGCAGGGAAGGACTCCCCCGATCACCTACCGGCTTCACCCGAATAGAACGCCCAGTCATTATAGCTGCATTTGGCTCAATTTTCAGTCCAGATGCAGCGATAATGAGCGGGCGTTTTATTCGGGTGAAGACGGTAGTGTTCTAAGCTTCAGCGATCACTGTCTCCCCGCAAAAGTTGGTTCAGCTTCGAGAGTCGTGCCAGTCTGAGATGGTATTACTGACGAGCTTAGCTCATTTGGTACGCCCACAAACTGTTGAAATACAGACCTAAGTTCGAGTCCTGGTGGACGTGGATGAATGGAACCAGTTGTTCCGAATTACCTCGCGCCGGTCACTTCTATGATGATCTCTCTCAAGGGCCAAACGCGACACCCTTTTTAAAGAAAGAAGGGCAAACGAAAACACAAAAAAGTGCCAGATGGTACGAAGTCAGACGAGGAACACAGGTACAGGTACAGGTAAGGGTGTGGAAAGGCGAAACGGTAACTTCATGATTCCTAGCTAGTGTTTTCAGCTTAAAGCACCAGTACATGGGCACCCAGGCCGCGGATCTGACACCTCGAATTCTGGAAGGCCGAAACGAAAACGCGACTAACATCGGGGTTTGACGTTTCGGCCTCGTGTTCTTGGGGTGACGAGTTTCCGACTGCAAGGCTGGGGCCGTGTACTGGTGGTTTAAGAAACAGAGCAAAGCCAAAATGGTTGAAAGTCAAAACTTGAAAGAGATAAGAGTGAAGACGTGCTGTTCCAAGCTCTCTCTGGATGCAGGAAAGAGCCCAATGATGATAGATTTAATCTGAAATTATTTAAATCATTTAAATCATCAGTCCATCGGAAGTCAAATTGAGAACCGGAAATTTGCCGAGCCTGAAAGTCTGGGTACCGTCCGACATCCGTTGGAAAAATCAACACGGTCTCGGTACCGGCCTCTGTAACATTGAAAAAAATTATGGGCCTCCAAAGACATTTTCGGGCCCGAAGGTACTGTTCATCGGTTTCTCTACTGGCCCTGGGGTGAATGGCCCAGGGGCGGTACTCGTATATGAAAACGGATGAACAGCAAGTTTAAACGGACTTGTTGTTTAACGGTACCAATACCGGACTCCGTAACAAAAAGTCTGGGCCTCCCACAGATATTTGGAGGCCCAAAGTTACCGGCCCCGGGGCAGATGGCCCGGGGGCGGCACTCGTATATGAAAACGGATGAACAACAAATTCAGACGGGCAGACTTGTTGTTTAGGTGTGTACATGGGTGGTAGTGCACACAGTGAGCAGGAGGAAAGCTGTAGAGATGGCCAAACGAGGGAGCATCAGCTTACACCAAGGAGTGTACTTGAATTGATACGCTGAAGATCATCATGGACCCTGCACAAGGACGACGTGCACACATCAATGAACGGTCGGATGAGGATCGACTCCCGACTTGTTTCTTAGCAGTGAATGGAGAGGAAGGGTGACCACGATGGGAAATGTATCTGGCTTGCATGTGTGGAATTGGTGGTAACCCTGCTTACGTGAGGAAAATGTTCTGGCTGGCGATGTAAGTAGGTAGGATCTCTGGGATGTGCAACAAGTCCATAGGAATGTCATCGGGACACGGCAAGAGTGGAGGTAGAGTGCGAGTATGGCTGCTCTCCAAGGACTTGCAGGGTCAGCAGGAGCTGCGTAAGGGCACTCGGTAAACATCACAGGGTGCTTGAAAACCCCTAAGCCACGATGAAGAGGAGCATGAGGGTGTGATTCATGTACTTTGATTTGCTTGCTGGTGGAAGAGGAACTGTACCTCCGCTCCCCAGAAAGCAGGCATAGCCTCAACGCTATGTTTTTATATGACCTTTCCTTTTTATAAAAAAAAAGAAAAGAGCCGTCGGCATCCAGTGCCTTCTGCCTTTGAAAATAACTCTAAACAAAGTGATTTAGAAACAAGTGAGAAGTCCAGAACTCCTGAATACACGGACATTCAGAAATGCCAATATAAGATTTTTGCTAACTGCAGAAGGAACAAGAAAGGGGCGTGGTGAACATACCAAGGGGGGAGGCCGGGGGAGGAGGCTTGTACGTCCAGATTGATGCAAGCATCTCTCTCTCTCTCTCTCTCTCTCTCTCTCTCTCTCTCTCTCTCTCTCTCTCTCTCTCTCTCTCTCTCTC